AAGCGAATCCCGGGGAGACCTCTCTTTTTAAATCCAAGCTTGTTTATTGCCAGCGGGGGGAAAAACCGCGCCAGCGTTTTGACCGTTTTTGAAAACACACATTTTCTAGCCGGTACACGCACATCGTACGATACGTCACCGGGTTGGGGGGATGTTAGCGTTCATGTTAACTTGCGTCACATGCACATCTGACGTTACGTCACCGGGTTGGGCGGGGTGGGGATGTTAACGTTCATGTTAACTTGCGTCACATCCACATATGACGTTACGTCACTGGGTTGGGGGGGATGTTACGTTCATGTTAACTTGCGTCACATGCACACCTGACGTTACGTCACTGGGTTGGGGGGGTGTGGATGTTAACGTTCATGTTAACTTGCGTCACATGCACATCTGACGTGACGTCACTGGGTTGGGGGGGTGTGGATGTTAACGTTCATGCTACAGTGTAACTTGCCTCACATGCACATCTGACGTTACGTCATTGGGTTGGGGGGGTGGGGATGTTAACGTTCATGTTAACTTGCGTCAATGGCGTTGGATGAACTCCAAGACCAAAAGTCTTTGGGAGCTCACTGGTCGCGCCTTGAAGAACCGTATGGCGATGTAAGGTGGAAAAAAAATATCGCGCGGTTTTCCCCCCGACGGGTTGTTTATGCTTGGATGATATCAAGAGTTCTGAAACAACCCTTCAGGAATCAGCAAACAAAGTCGACAGTTTGAGTTCTTGAGGAGCAAAACGCTGAAGGTGGTACACCAATTATCTCCGGAAAATATTTCCGGCATACCATGGACAGTCTCGCAGCCAAAGTCCTTCATTCAACATTCAAGTTCGTGGACAAGATATATCAAATTCCGAAAACTTATATATATAAGTGGTTTCTCGAGGGTGTATACCTCAACAAAATATACAAAAACAGCAGCGCGCAAAGCATGCTATGCAAAGAGAAGAAGACGTACGCACCCAGCAGGTAACAAAGCCTCAGTGCTTGTCCACACGAGAATAACTCAGAATAACGGATAGTTTCCAATTTGTTCCCTTCAAATATGTTTTTTTTATTTTAATTTGCAGGAGGTATTTTTTTTCCCAGAACACAATCTCTATGATTAAAAGATGCGAAGAAAACCAATTCTAAAAACTACGAGATGCTGATGTTAGATGCTTCTCAAGATCTTTGTTGCATGTCTCAAGACCCGCAGGCAACAAACCGACAGTACCAAATGCGGCCGGCACCGTTTCTCATTACAATGGGATCATTCCTAAAGGTCAGCAACATTTCTTTGGACCAAAAGATCTAGCTCTTCAACACCGAGCTTCGCGATTCCCAAAACCTCATCGAGAGCGCAGCATTGGTAAAACACAGGAAGACCATGAGTCACCAGTGACTACAACTTCAACATATCTACTTCATCCTTCATCCCATTGGTGAGGATGGTACCCTAAATTTTGGACATACTAGCTTTACAGGGCTTCGGTTATTCCAAGTGGAAGTCTGCTTCCCTCAAGCAATGTAGCACACGTTCAACATGTTGGCCAGGCATAACACACGACACACCAACAGTAGGTCCACGATGTCCGGTATCAGTTGTTCCAGGTCTTGGGACTCGCATGGACTCGCGGTCTGCCCCAACTCAATCATTCCACGATCAAGTTATGGAGGTTTCCTACAATGGGGAAACTCAAAGTCATCCAAGTTTGGCACTTTCAAGGGGACACCAATGATTTATATATAGAGGTATCCTGTTAGCCCGATCTTAGGACACTCAATCAGCTTCCCCAGTCTTGTTTATGCAAGGAACGCATGCCAACTGAAAGACAGCACCTAATGCGCCTCTCAAAGCAGTTGGCGAGACTTCATTGATGTAGGTTGGAACCACCTGGGAGCGACATAAAGCAATGATAAAGGTGGCTGCTGCATGCTGGGTCTCGGGTAGGATCTTTTGCCACCTATCTGACTTAAGAGGGATGAAACAAGCACACGATCTAAAGGACCAAAAGCCCTACATAGGTATGAAACGACAGCTCTATTCCGAGGACTTTCAGCAACCCTTCATCTTCCATGCCCTTTTAACCTTTTTTGCGCCTTTCCTGGTCTGTTCTTGTTTTATCTTCCTCCCTAAAAGCGACTTGGGATGGTTTTTAAACGCAAGGTTTGGTGCGATAATGTTTGTCTTGAGTTCAAACCGGTCTTTGATATTGGTCTCTGGATTGGGCTCAAGACGGTAAGATATGTAAGATAATTCAATAACTGTCCCATGTCTCTTGGCAGATACTGGCAGTCGGGCTATTCAAGATCGTGAGAAAGGGATTGTGATACAAGTTGCTCTTTTCAAGACTTGATAAATTCCTTGGCATTGCAGTTTTCCCAGGAGAAAACGCTAGAGTTGCTTTGCTAGGCAGGGCTCCGGGTCGCTCAGGAAACGACGATTGGCAACTCGAGATTCCTTCACTACCGAAACCAAACATTTCAAACAAGCTTGGAGTTTTTCTTGATTTCTCCTATCCAATACGCAAGCTATGCCAGCTATGCCAGCTTCGGGCATAGCGGGCATAGCTCATTCTATCTGATCTACCCTGACAAACCACAATAAAGCCTTCAGAATTCTTCAAACGATTTCAATCAAACGACAAATGATCTCATAGAATAGAAACACAGCAACTGCATACAAATGCTACTTGCGGATGACTATGATCGCTTAAAAAACAGTAACCCTGTTGCCATCTGTCGTCCATTTCCTGGCTCTGGCGGCCAAGGTGCAGTGCTGCACATTCCAACGCCGACTCCTGCAAAGAATCGTGTCAAAATCAGCAGCCCAAAGCCATGAGCGAAGGACGTCGCAGTCCAGACCTACAACGATGTTGTGAGGATGTGTCCAGATGGAACCCGAAACGATTTCAGTGTTTTCTCATATCGAGATGACTCGATCAATCATGAGTTACCTCCACCAAGTCGTTGATACGTGCCAGAACATCTTTGGAGCCGAAGGCAACAACTCAGGAGCATTGATTGGATTTTCACCAAGCATACAGGAAAGCGTACACCAGCCGTGATATGCACTGCACTAGCACTGCACTAGCACTGCAGTGCAGTATCGCGTCAATGTTGGCCAAATAAAGGGGACTGTGCTCAGGCTCAAAGCACATCTTCGAAATGTTTAGCTTCGAGACTACGTTCGTGGACCGCGTTAGCGAGTTGAAACATTCGAGGTTCTCCATCTGATTTTCATAGATTTTGAGGGATCTTCAGTCTTGGCTCCTCAGGACTCAGGAAATCTCGAGTCAAGGCGCGATTGCATTGAACGGAGCCTGCAACAAAAGGGCACGCTTTCGCCCTATGCCTCAAGAACAGTTGTCAGAAACAAAAAATGAACCAGTGACCAGGACCCTGACAACTCAAATTGGGAGATCGGGAGTACCTGACTTCGTGACGTGAGTGGGATGATTTTAACAAATACTGAACGGCACATGACTGCTAGGTTTCTGGGTCATGCTGGGTCTGGCAGCCATTCCATTTCCATCCATTTCTATCCATTTCTTATCATCTTCTCCCTTTTCTACTTCAGCACATAAACTATTTCCCACCCAAGCCAACCACAGAGTATTGCACCACATCAACGCACGATGGTTGCTCCAAGCTGCGCTGGCTGAGCGGGCCTCCAAGTAAGGCGCCTGCCAACGCCCCAAAATTCAAGATGGAACCTTGGTATCGCTGGTGAGAAGCTGCTGGAGGACATCCTCTGCACTTGCAGCAACTTGCAACATCCAAGGAGCTAAAGAGAGAACCCTCGAATTCGCTCGTGAATACAACCTTAGTTGCTTCGTTCCCTGGTAACCAGTTGGCTGAGAAAATATATAGCTTGATTGCACCCTAAAGCTAGGATTTCACAAGATTACCTGTTCATTTGGAAGACATGTTTGCTGGATTCCCTTCACAAATCACCGCTTGGAAGCGAGGTATCGCTGACAGGTCCTTTCTGAATCGAGATGGACTTGTGCACGCTACTGGTACCACTGGTAGGACACACACGCTTTCAGCAAACTGGGAAAAACTATCTTTAGAATTTGGAAGCTCAAAACTTATCACATCTGATCTCCATGACATCCCTCAAATTTGTTGATTGCAAAGTGACCAAATCTGATGGAACGCTTGCAGCTTTGCCGTTGACCTTCAGGGTGTCCTGCATCACATCAATAGCAGGAGAAGTGAAGCCCAGAGCCATGCCAAAAACCAATGTAGAGATAGACGCCACCTCAGCAATCTCATCAATCTCATCAGCAAAAAAAGGTCTGATTTGCATCTACACAATGCCACGCAATGCTCCACATTCCAAATTCTTCCAGTCATTCCAGTATTTGATCTCTAAAGGCATAGCATCATAACGTCTAACGTGAGCCTTGGATTGGGTGCCACACCATGACTGACAGCACAGCACCTCAAGTGCAGTGTGCTTGGATGTGCATCTCAGGAATCCGAAGTGATTTATCACTTCCCCAACCTACATATAACCCTTAAAAAATATATGTATATATATATATATATAGATCGAATATTGTTTATATATATATATCGAATATTGTTTTTTCCCGAGAGCGTCTGAGCGCAGGGTTCTTCCAATAGTGGGGGTCTGTATCTCATCTTCTCATCTTCACACCTTCTCATCTTCACACCTTCTCATCTTCACACCTTCTCTCACACCTTCTCATCTTCACATCTTCTCTCACATCTGCTCTCACATCTGCTCATCTGCACATCTGCTCATCTTCACATCTTCTCTCACATCTGCTCATCTTCACATCTTCTCTCACATCTGCTCATCGTCACATCTGCTCATCTTCATCTTCATCTTCTCTCACATCTGCTCATCTTCACATCTGCTCATCTTCATATCTTCTCTCACATCTTCTCTCACATCTTCTCTCATCTGCTCATCTTCATATCTTCTCTCACATCTTCTCTCACATCTGCTCATCTTCACATCTGCTCATCTTCACATCTGCTCATCTTCACATCTTCTCTCACATCTTCTCTCTCTCCTCTCACATCTTCTCTCACATCTGCGCATCTTCACATCTGCTCATCTTCACATCTCCTCTCACATCTTCTCTCACATCTGCTCATCTTCACATCTGCTCATCTTCACATTTGCTCATCTTCACATCTTCTCTCACATCTTCTCTCACATCTGCTCATCTTCACATCTGCTCATCTTCACACCTTCTCTCACATCTTCTCACCTTCACATTTTCTCTCCTTTCTCTCTCCTTTCTCTCTCCTTTTTCTCTCTCTCGCCTTCTTTATCTTTCTCTCTTTAGGCCGAGGGTGGTGCCGGCGGAGAGTCACGAAACGTCAACCCTTTCGCACGAAATGAGGGTCGATCGGCAAAAACTGAGGTAAAAGTGCGATTTTACTTGTGCTAAGCAACCCTTTCGCACGAAATGAGGGTCGATCGGCAAAAACTGAGGTAAAAGTGCGATTTTACTTGTGCCGGAGCAACCCTTTCGCACGAAATGAGGGTCGATCGGCAAAAACTGAGGTAAAAGTGCGATTTTACTTGTGCTAAAGCAACCCTTTCGCACGAAATGAGGGTCGATCGGCAAAAACTGAGGTAAAATTGCGATTTGACTTGTGCCGGAGCAACCCTTTCGCACGAAATGAGGGTCGATCGGCAAAAACTGAGGTAAAAGTGCGATTTGACTTGTCCTGGAGCAACCCTTTCTCGCGAAATGAGGGTCGATCGGCAAAAACTGAGGTAAAAGTGCGATTTTACTTGTGCCGGAGCAACCTTTTCGCACGAAATGAGGGTCGATCGGCAAAAACTGAGGTAAAATTGCGATTTTAGTTGTCCCGGAGCAACCCTTTCGCACGAAATGAGGGTCGATCGGCAAAAACTGAGGTAAAATTGCGATTTTACTTGTGCCGTTCTTGTCTGTGTGTAAAAGCGCCTGTGTGTAAAAAGCGTCTGTGTGTAAAAGTCTCTGTGTGTAAAAGCGTCTGTGTGTAAAAGCGTCTGTGTGTCAAAGCGTCTGTGTGTAAAAGCGTCTGTGTGTAAAAGTGTTTGTGTGTAAAAGTGTTTGTGTAAAAGTGTTTGTGTGTAAAAGCCTCTGTGTGTAAATGTGTTTGTGTGTGAAAGCGTCTGTGCGTAAAAAAGCGTCTGTGTGTAAAAAGCGTCCGTGTGTAAAAGCGTCTGTGTGTCAAAGCGTTTGTGTGTAAAAGCATCTGTGTGTAAAAGTGTTTGTATGTAAAAGCTTCTGTGTGTAAAAGTGTTTGTGTAAAAGTGTTTGTGTAAAAGCCTCTGTGTGTAAAAGCTTTGTGTGTAAAAGCGTCTGTGTGTAAAAAGCGTCTGTGTGTAAAAGTGTTTGCGATGCAAACTATTGTCTTGCACTTCTCACTATCCTGTCTTGATACTCCTCTTCTCGACTGCCTATAACAGAGCTTTCATATATCGTTTCTAATATTACGTCTCCATACTAACAAGAGAAAACCCTGCTCCTCTACGCTCTCGGGCCATCCGTCGTCTAGTATATATATATATAATATCATTTATATATATAAATATAAAATATAAACCCATTTGGGTCTCACTTACTGACAGGCACCCCCTATGTGGCAAATCATCGTGTGAACAAACTGTTGCAAGACGACGGACCAAAAATCACGCAGTGCGCTGCTTTCAAGTCGTCATTGTCAATCAAATACAGTTTGATAGTCTCCCATTATAGCATCAAACATCATAAACCATTGTAAACCCATGATAGCATTGAACCGGTCAAAGTGGCAGAGATAATACGACGTCAGTAACATGTTCCTTCTGTTTTGTCCGCCATGGCACATGTTGAGGAGCCACCGGTGCTTTCTGGCATCGCCAGGGCCTCCGCTTTAAGCCAGCCGCGCGCTGGCTTTCTTGATCCACAAGCAGCTCCGGTTGTGACCACTGAATGCCAAGGAGGTTCCTGATGCTTCTTTTGGCCGAACCCACGGAGCAATTCTTCCCAGCGTTGTGCTATAGGGGAATATAGAGGCACTGTTTGCCGTAAGCATATAGAAGAGAGAGAGAGAGAGCGAGATGTGGATCATCTAGACAAACATGATTCGCACAAAGATTTCGACGCAAAACCCAGCAAGAAGCCAGTGAGATGTATGTTTCAAAACGAGACCACTGACTCCATTCTTTACTCAGTTTCGGTTACTTTCAATACCAGTAGTACCGCGCAAGGCGGTGGCGGAAGTTTTTTAAATAGGAAACTTATAGGAGAGGTTGGTTGTTGTGAGCCACGGAAGGCAGAACGAATCCACTGATGGACAGACAGGTGGTTGGAGTTGTGTTTTTTGGAATGGTTGCAATGGTTGCAGTGGTCACCTTACCACAACTGCTGTATGTAGTGTGGTGTAGTGCAGTTGTAGTTGTAGTTGCTGTTGTAGCTGTAGTTGTAGTGCAGTGTAGGGTAGCGGAGCTGTAGTTGTAATGTAGTGTAATTAGTGTAGTTGCAAGCGCAGTTGCAGTTGTAGGTTGTAGTCGTGGTGTGGTGTAATTAGTGTAGTGTCGTGCAGTGTAATGTCGCGTAGTGTTGTGTAGTGTAGTGTGGTATAGTGTAGTGTAGTCTAGTGTAAGGTAGTGTAGTTGTAGTTGTAGCGTAGTGCAGTGTAATTAGCGTAGTGTAGTGTAGTGTAGCGGAGTGGAGTGGAGTGTAGTATGTGTAGTGTAGTGGTAGTTGTAGTTGTAGTTGCAGCTGCAGTTGTAGTGCCATGCAATGTAATCAGTGTAGTGTAGTGTTGTGTAATGTAGTGTGGCTGTAGTTGTAGTTGTATTTGTAGTTGCAGTGTGCTGCAGTGTAACTAGTGTAGTGTAGTGTAGTTGTAATTGTAGTTGTACGTAGTTGTGGTGGTGGTCATATTAGTTGTGTAATGTAGTGTGGCTGTAGTTGTAGTTGTAGTTGTAGTTGCAGTGTGCTGCAGTGTAACTAGTGTAGTGTAGTGTAGTTGTAATTGTAGTTGTACGTAGTTGTGGTGGTGGTGGTGGTAGTAGTAGCAGCAGTAGTAGCAGCAGCAGCAGTAGTAGTTGTTGTTGTTGCTGTTGCTGTTGCTGTTGTTGTTGTTGTTGTTGTTATTGTTAGTGTAATTGGTGTAGTGTGGTGGAATTAGATGTAACTAGTGTAGTGTAGTGTAATGTACTGTAGTATATTTGAATGTGTATTTGTAGTTGTAGCAGTAGTGTCGTGTAGTGTAGTGATAGTTGTAGTTGTAGTTGTAGTTGCAGTTGCAGTTCTAGTTGTAGTTGTCTGTCTGTCTGTATCTATCTATCTATCTATCTACCTATCTATCTATCTATCTCTATATCTATCTATCTATCTACCTACCTGTCTATCTATCTATCTGTCTGTCTGTCTGTCTGTCTGTCTGTCTATATCTATCTATCTATCCATCTATCTATCCATCCTTCTCTCCATCTATCTATCTATCTATCTAGCTATCTGTTTGTCTGCCTGTCTGTCTATCTGTCTGTCTGTCTATCTATCTATCTATCTGTTTGTCTGCCTGTCTGTCTATCTGTCTGTCTGTCTGTCTATTTGTAAGCTTGAAACGCAGCAATTCTGCGAGACTTCCCCAATTTTTGAACTTGGCAACATCCAAAACGAAGCAATTCTGCGAGACTTCCTCAATTTTTGAGCTTGGCAACATCAAAACGAAGCAGTTCTGCGAGACTTCCTTCAAAAATGGAAAGTTGAGTGCAGAGCTGACGACCTCGTACCAATGCGTTTTGCGATTTCCAGTCCATGCCTCTAAAGTATTGCGCCTGCCACGAAAAATTGATGCCAGGTCATACGAAGTGCTGCACCTGCCACGCAAAATCATCTTCCCAAAACTGAAGATCAAATGCTCCAAAATGCAACCCCTCTCAGGAAATCAGCGCCCTGACCTCTTAACATCTCTGATGAACATGTCTCTTGTACCGCGCCTGCCACGCGAAATGCATCTTTGCAGATCCTCTTCAAATGTCCTACGCTTGCCATCGTGTACAACCCCGCGAGCTATCTATAGTACGGCTAGGATTCTATACATACCATTCCCTTTCCATTGAAAATGGAACGCGCAATTTGAAAAGACAGAAATGCACTCACTACCCGGCGGGAAACCACGCGTGTTTTGCAAAATTACCAAGTACAGGGGGTGCCTGTCAGGCCCCTAGAAAGCTAAAAAAACAAAAGCAGGCGAAAAAAAACGGCGAAAGGGTGTCTGATGATTGTGCTTACGTCGTCTGCTATCTTTTCCCTGCTCTCCTTCTCAATCCACTGCTCCGGTCTGTTAAAGCAGCTGGATGTTTACATTTGCGACTTCTGGAACCGTTTTGTGCATCATAGGCAGTGCAGCCAGCCGCAAGAAATTCTGGAATTCTCTTTGTTTTTTCCATGGTATAATTTTAAAGAACAAACACCCTGCAAACCAGCCTCCGCAAAGACAACGGAATCGATACACAAATTGTATTCGACTCATTGCGATAAGTCCTGTCATTGCATGTCTTCCGCCACAATCACCACCGAAAAGAACAACCATGGAAATGTGGCCAAGGGCCTTGTTGGACATGTGAAGGCAAATCGCAAATCTTGTGGCAAACCCTGTGTTAAACCTTGTGGTAGGCCTGTCCCAGGAAAAGTGCACAAAAAAAAGGACCGGATAACCCCACAAGTCAACTTCTTCCAATAATGGGCAAGAAATGTTGTAGCGGGGACGGGGAAGGAAGGAAAGACAAAGGAGGAGGTGGAGGAAAGATGGTGTGTGGCAAAGTTGTGTGTGTGAAAGATGGTGTGGTGTGGAAGATGGTGTGTGACAAAGTTGTGTGTGAAAGATGGTGTGTCAAAGATTGTGGGTGACAAAGTTGTGTGTGAAAGATGGTGTGTAAAAGATGGTGTGTCAAAAATGGTGTGAAAGATGGTGTGTAAAAGATGGTGTGTCAAAGATGGCGTGTGAAAGATGGTGTGTGACAAAGTGGTGTGAAAGATGATGTGTGAAAGATGGTGTGTGTGACAAAGTGGTGTGACAAAGTGGTGTGACAGCAGCTCCTCCAGGAGGCTCTGTGTACTGCACCACACGACAGCCAGCCGCGGGCCAGCGACGGCCACGTGCGCACCAGCTCGTCCAGGAGGCTCTACTGCGCCTGCCACACGACAGCCAGCCGCGGGCCAGTGTGTATTGCGCCTGCCACACGACAGCCAGCCACCGGCCAGCGGCGGCCACGCGTGCACCAGCTCCTCCAGGAGGCTCTGTGTACTGCTCCTGCCCCAGCCGCGGGCCAGCGGCGGCCACGCGCGCACCAGCTCCTCCAGGAGGCTCTGTGTACTGCGCCTGCCATGCGGCAGCCAGTTGCGGGCCAGCGGCAGCCACGCGCGCACCAGCTCCTCCAGGAGGCTCTGTGTACTGCGCCTTCCACACGACAGCCAGCCGCGGGCCACCGCCGGCCAAGCTCCTCCAGGAGGCTCTGTGTACTGGCGCCTGCAACGCGACAGGCAGCCGCGCGCCAGCGGCGGCCAAGCGTGCACCAGCTCCTCCAGGAGGCTCTGTGTACTGCGCCTGCCGCGCGACAGCTAGCCGCGGGAGAAGTGCAGAAGTGATGAATGAGAAGTGCAGCTGCGATGGGTTGTGGTGTGATGAGTGAGACGTGATGAGAGATGTGATAAGCGAGGTGTGAGAAGTGGAGCTGTGATGAGTTGTGGTGTGATGAGTGAGATGTGATGAACGATGTGATAAGTGAGGTGAGAAGTGAGAGGTGATGAGAGATGTGATAAGTGAGGTGTGAGATGTGGTGTGATGAGTGAGATGTGATGAGCAAGATTTGATGAGAGATGTGAGAAGCGATAAGTGAGGTGAGAAGTGAGATGTGATGAGAGATGTGATAAGTGAGGTGTGAGAAGTGGAGCTGTGATGAGGACGGCGGCGGGCGGACGCGGAAGCGGCGCGGCGGTAAACGTTGTGGTAAACGCTGTGGCAAACCTTTTTTAACGTTTTCTATGTATTTTTTTCCGCAAGCCTTTTTGTGGCAAACGTTGAGGTAAACCTTTTCGTGGTAAACATTTTTGCGGTAAGACTGTGGTAAAGGTGCGGTACACCTTTCAAAATTGATCGCGGCAAACCTTTTATTGTCATTTCTACTGCATATTTTCCAGGAAAAGGGTTTACCACACCTTTACCACACTTTTGCCACAGAAAAGGTTTACCACGGTCAATTTTGAAAGGTTTACCACACCTTTACCACGCTCTTACCACGGAAAGGTTTACCACAACCTTTATTGCCACATTTTTGGGTGGGAAAAATCACTTTACCACAAGGTTTCCCACAGAATGTTGGCGCATATTTTGGACAACAAGTCAAAGGCTTTAATTCCCAGTTGGCAGTTGGGCGGCGTTGTGGATTCAGTGGTCTTGTGGACGCGGTTTAATTGCACCCCATTTCCGTGTGAGTGTTCCTTATCTTTGGGGAAGGCCGTGCACTGGATATATGATATATGCAGTATATGTAAATGTAAATATAAGGAGAAAATCGCAAAGTAAATGTGTGCCAGGTTGGACAGTCTGGCAATTTGGGGGGCTTGGCGGCTGGTTTGATTAAAATCTATCCAGACCAAAGCACAGGCCGCACGGGAAAATGCAAATCAGACAACAAGACCAAAACTAGGAAAAATATACGGGTTTACATTTGAAGGGTGCAAATTTTGCATGTACTTAGGCCGGGTTGAGTGTCGAACAGCTTCAAATGTCTGTTTCTTTTGTTATAACTCGGTTTTCCCTAACTTCATTGTCTCTCCACCTTCATGACCTTAGAGTGTGTGGTTCCACGCCGGGACCTCTGACCAATTTGGTTGAAAAAAGTGTGTTTAAAAATTACCTAGGAATTTGCGTGACAGGCATCAAATTTTACCCGTAATATC